GCAGACCTCTAGCTCATCTCCTTCCTCTTACACGGACGACGGACAGACAGACGGACACGAGAGCGGTTGCATAAGCCCGCTTTAATGCTTTTTTAAAAGCAGAAGGGCGGGCTAAAAAAAAGAAAGAAGTTTATGCGTGCTGGGCGCCGCCGTTGCGGTGTGCGGCGCCGCCCAGGACTCGCCGGGCGCAGACTGCGCAGACACAGCTCGTCAGGAATAGTAATGACAATGACTTGTGTCCCTTGTGTCGTCGTCTCGGCGTGGTCTGGTCTGCGGGTGTAGAGGGTGGGGTGCCGCCTCCGCACCCACCCCTCGCTGTACGGAACAAGCTGAGCCACAGCAGCGCCGCTCTGTTGCGTAACAACAAGAAGTGCGCCCGTCGCGCACACCCAGCATAGACGAGGTCTCCCCCCTCCCCCGCGGAGCAGCGAAAGTCACCCCTGCGGTCCTGATGGTCCCATGGATGGGGGACGAGTCAGGTGGACGGTGAGTTCGAATGAGCACATAGCACGAAAAAAAACTTAATTCTTTTAAATCAGACGCCTTTCCCTGCGCATCTTAACAAAAACAACGTATGTTTTAAAAAAATACTTTTACTTCATTCTATTGCTGTTGTCATTCAACAATTCAATACATTTCAACTTGGAATCCTGCATCTAAGTAGAGACGTCCGATTAAGGGCGCCATGGGAACAACGTATAGTGTATAGTCAGGAAGCAGAGAGGGGAGGTGGTCTCGCTGCTCAGGAAGCGTTTAGCGTGCCTGGCCCACCAAGCTCGGCCTCCCCACACCATACTACACTACTACCTGACCCGTGCAGCTCAGCTCGACCAGCATTTAACGCGTCATTGCCTTGAGGGCGGCGCCATACGGGCGGGGCGGGGCGGGTCACTGACCGCCTCCCCCGCGCCTCACACCACCCCTCTCTCCTGCAGTTATTATGATTACTCGCAATAGGATGCGCCGGAGGCGTGGCGAGGCGTGGAGCACCCAGGTCCATTAAAATGGCACTGCTCCTCCGAAGCGAGCGCGCCTCGGTGATGCTGCACACTGGCAGAGCGGCGCACGGAGAACCAACTCAACTACTCTGTCTGCCTACCAGTCATTTTACGTTTTCTGTGTATTTTTTTGTTGCTGACCCTCACCCCCCCCCCCAAAAGTAACAATTTACCTAAAGTTTTGGCCAAGTTTTTCCGTTGCATAGCGGTGTAGGCCAAGCGAACCCATTTTACAGTTACTCCATTAACGAGGTGGCCCCGGATTAAATAAAGCAGCGCGATGCCTATACATAGGATAGGCGAACGTGCTGCAGTTTTACGGCTCGTCATTAATCGGCAACCCCTTCTCCTCCCGCGGCGGGGGTGCCCCGCGGGTGCCCCGCGGACGCCTCCCGGGGGCCGCCTTTGGGTGCCCGCCGCCGGGCCGCCCGCCTCGCACCTGCTGCTGCAGCCCGACCAGGTACCTAACGGGAACGGGTCCCTCCCGACTCGATACTAGTCGACCCGTTCGCACCTGCTGCGCTGGCCCACCTACGCTACTCCCCAAGTGCCCTTATCCCCGCCGGCCCGAGCGCCGGCTCCGGGGCAAAGGGTTGCAGCGAGATTGGGGGCCGTGAGACTTTCTGGGAGTCTGAGCCGCCTGTCGGGGATTCAGTAAGATTCCCCTGAAAGTGACTCAGGCAGAGCCGGACTTTTGGGGCGGAGCTTTGGTACGCTCGCCGCACCCGACCCACCGGGGGACCCACCCACCCACTACCGTGCCCCGCCCTGCCCTTCTGTCACTTTCCATTTCCGCGAAGCTCGACGCGCGCGCACAGCGATGCCCGCTCCCGCCCCTCGTCGTCGCCGCCGGTTGAGCCGCGGCGGGACCCCTGCCGCCTGCCGAGCTTGCATCACGCACCGCCGCGTGACCTACAAGACTACCGAGACTGCCGCCGCCCGATCGCTTTCATTGAAGTCTCCTGCTGCTCGGCTCGGCTCGACGAGCTGCTTTGGAGAGCGGCGATAAAGAGTATATCTCGTGCGAGAGAGCGGGACGACAGCCGGGGCCGCCGCCAGCGCGGGATGAAAGCAGGATGTCCTGGTCGGAGCAGCAGCGCTCCGGCAGTATGAGAAAACTATCGACCCTATCGACACTATCGAACCAAACTCATTACTGCATCCGGCAGTATGAGAGAACTATCGACCCTATCGAACCAAACTCATTACTGCATCCGGCAAGGCGGCAGGGCGGGCGAGAGCGTCGCACATCGCGCCGTGGTGGCCTGGCAGGGGGGGGGGGGGCGCCTTGCAAAACCGCGAGGACCGAAGGGGGTTCCAGTAAAAGCCCCGGCGGATGGCATTATCGGCGTCCACGCCAGGGATCGGCGTTCCGGGGAGGGGGGGGGGGCTGGAGGCCGAGAGAGAGAGCGAGAGCGAGAGAGTTTGAGGTACTTTGTTGGTGGCGCCATCCGGCGCCCGGACGAGCCGAAGAGTGGAGTGACCATGTCCTTGAGGCGCCGCAGTGACCCGGAGACCCAGACAGACAAGCCCCCCTCCCGATTTCCCCCCCCCCCCCCCCCACACACACACACACGCGGTCACACAAACACTCGGGTGTCGATGACCCTACTCCTCGCCGGGCCTGCGCGCGGCCCGGCCGCCCGCCGCAGAGCAGCGCGCGATACATCCGCGCGGACACGGCTATCGCGGCGCTCTTGTGTGGTTTCGCGGTTGCCGCGGAAAATACAAAAATAACCAACACACTTCGATAAGGAAAATGGACACCGGCGTGTGCGAGGCGGGAGGGCTGAGCCTCGACCTGGCTGGCGCACGTCTGCGCTGCGCCAGTGGGCGTATACTACTTACGTGGACGTGGATGTCGACCCCAAAGTGACCAACACGACCATGTGGCCAAAGCGAGGGAGGGGGGGTGACTCTGAGATATCGCGTGCAACAGAGGATTCCTAGAGTACACCTGGAGTACGTAGAGACTATCCCAGATTGACATATTGTGCTGTGTTGTTTCCCCCCTCGGTCCGGCGGAGGAAGTGAACTGGGTGCGGGACGAGCGGGACGAGGTGCTGGAAGGGAAGACGCGCAGCACAGCAGGGCGGGCGCCTGCAGGGCTTCCCTAGGGAACGCCCTGGGAACGCCCATAGCAGTGGCGCCCCGCCCCGCCCCGCCCGGCCTGACCCGCCCTACATAACGCAGCGTGGCGTGTGTCCTTTGCGGCGGCGCCGCTGCAGCTGCGCTGCTCCCATTATTTGCAGTATCTGATGCACGCCGATCAGCCCTGGCCAAGCCCTGTGCTGCTGCACGCCGCCGCCGCCCACGCCTCCGCGACCTCGTCAGCGCCTCCCGTGCCGCGGAGCTGGGCTGCTGCACTTCCTAGCCGCAAGGCGCGATGCCATCCTCCAGAGCTTCCTACCTACACGACCACGACGACGACGACAACGTGACTCCCGTGCAGGTAGAGGGAGAAGAAGCGGGGCGACTCACGGTGGTGATGGGGTCCGCGCTGTGGGTGATGATGATGAGGGCGCGGGGACCACAGGCTGCTGAGTCAGCGCGGCCACCCGCGGGGTGCACCCCCCACCCCCTTGTGCCCCGGTCACGCCCGCGCATACACACACACACACACACACACACGCACACACACACACACACGCACACATGTCTCAGGCGAAAGCATTTCACTCCCAGCAGGATCACGGATCTGCTCCGGCGGGGCGTGGCGTGCTGGGACACGCGGGGGCGCGCGCAAAAGACGGTGAGTCACTCCAAACTCCCCGTGAAAATGGTGTCGCGGCCCGCGGGCCTCCGTCTCGGCG